TAACTTGGAACAGGTTGGTTTATTCAGGTCAATGCTGTTTTCAGACTGAGTTAGCGGAAAAAGTCCAAGTCTTTGGCCAGCTCCCTCAGGACACCTCAGTGCGGGTCAGCAGCTCTTCTAGTGAACGATGATCACTGTCTCATGTACGGGTTGATGTTTTGGTTGTCTCAGGCTGCAAAGCAACAGAATTTTTGCTACTTCATGACTCAGGCTTGTGACACGGAGTGGAATAAAGGATGGGCTATTTTGCCAGTAATCAAAGCTTTTCCAATAAAAGAGAGTAAGAAAATTAACAGTCTTGACTTCCAACTAAGAGCAGATTTTTAATATGCTTTGTGTCATTTAGAATACAAAAATATTTTGAGGTATTCTCTAATAAGCACTCTGGTGTAAGAAAAAAGAAATCTGGCTTCAGCTTTACTGTAAACCTACTGAGCTGCCAAACAGACTCAACGTTGCAGATTTGTAAGGCGCTGCAATTGCATGTTGCATTTATGCCACCTACAGGCAGTAACATCAACCTTTCAGCAGATTTGCCTGCCAGGCTTGCTGAGTACTCTTGGACTGCACTGGGAAAAGACTCCAAAGCAGTCAGCCCAACCCTCTACTCATAAAAAGCACTCAGTTCAGCTTATTAAAACTTAACACAAATATTTAATTAATCTGAGCCACTAATATGAACTTGCCTTTTCCATGTCACTTAGTTACTGGTACAGCGAAGCAATGAGAATACTGAAATCCACTTTTGTCAAGCGTGCTTTGAAATGTGCGGCAAGCGTTACGGCATACTCCGAAAAGGCTTTCATTCTCCACTGAAATCCAGTGCCTTTGGGGGTGATATACAGACAGACCTCCCAACAACACGAGACAGGGAAATGTATTCCTGTGCCCAAAATAAGTGATGCAAAAAATAATGATGATGTAATTACTGCTTGGGATTTAGGCAAGGAGTTTGAGGAGCCTCTTTCTATGCAAAAAAATCCCATGGAAGCTTTTACGAGCATAAGCGATGGGGCGGAAATTGTACATCATTAGGAAGTTAGCACCTCCAATAGGACTGTACAGTCTCATGCTGTCTCAGGGAACCGGCTGCGTTCAAAACCAGGGGGAAGTGCCACCTGGTGGACTGTTGTCCAGATCCCACTGCAGCTGGCTTCTCCCTAGAGCCTATTTACATCCCAAGGCCAGAGAAGATCAAAGGGCATGGTATTGCAACTGCCATCTTTAGCTTCCTTAGAGCTTAATTTCCTCAGAATTAACTCAGAATATGCATGAGATAATTAAAAGAAGTTCTCTTATCCTTCTTCCCTCACCCCAGAGGACATTTAAGAGCATATACTATTTGCTGGACATGAAAAAGTCTTGTTCAACAGACACACTTGCTTGCACTCAAAATACTTAGCAGATGTTACTGCCTTACTTGCAGAAATCTCCACGATTCTCCGGCAGTCACCTTACTTTGGACAGCGTCAGGGGAATCCATTTCTGCATCCAAGCTTCTCAGCTGACTGCGAGCTCTCAGTGCAAAAAAGCTTGAGCTTTTGCACAGGTTCATTTTATACTGTGCTAACAGTTGGTCTTACTGTGGCAAGTCTGGTTTTTGGATTGGCTGAGAGATCTGCCACGGAGTGGGAGAGACTGGGGTGCTCAGAAATCCTGCTTTAGTCTCACTGTGAAGGCTTGTGCTACCAGCCAGTCAGCTGGGAAATATTACTAACAGGTTTCAGCAGAGTACCTGGCTAAATCAGAGGTGGATTTTTGGCAGGGGGAGTTAAGAAATCCCTCTCTGAGCACACCTGAGCATGGTGAGTCTGCTAATGATGTATGTACCTGTGAATGTACAGGTCTCTCATCAGACTGCGGCCACCTCTCTCTCTTGCCTCTGGCTCAAAGGGACGGCTCCTCCTGGAGGTGTAAAGATGTATATGTCAGTTGCCTGAGTCCACACTGCTGCTGGCTTCAGTACTCTGCTCCTCAGCCCTACCCTTAATGAACAGCAAGAACATTAAGGTTTGCACTTACTTACAGAACTGTTATTGCAGGCAGGGCAGCCTTTTACATTTTATTTAGAAGTGGGTTGCTCACTCACGTCTCAGCCAACCCAGACGCAGTGGCAGCTCCAGAGCTTCCCACTAGCTATGGGGCAGACAAGCTCTTCTCGGTCCTAAACAACTACTACTGGCTGCATAAATCAGCTGCCATAATTCTCCGCCAGGGTGTTTCTTGTCTGCTTCCATGCAGGTTTGCTTGAACTTGGAAGGAGTACTAACCGCTTTAGTTAAAATAACCAGAACTTGTTTGTGTCTATCCTGATATGTCCATGGCATTACAATATCTGTAAAACAACCATGCATGCGCATAGCAGAAGCATGAAGTAAACGGTGTGCATTTGTGTAGCAGAGACTTTGGCAGTGTGGCCACAAGCGCTTTTTGACACACAAATTACACACGCAGTTTTAGATTCTAATCCCAACACCTGTTTATCAGCAAAAAATGATGCAAATGGAATTAAGATTTCAGGGAAAACATCAGAAAGTTACTCTGGGAGGGTTCTGGTACTAGGGGCTTCTTTTCTCCTTTACCCTCCTAACTTCACTGTCCTCCATCTTAACCTTTGTCAAAGACACCCTCCTCCTTATTGCTTTCTCTCCTGAGATACCCTTCTATAATACTTTCTCCAGTCCCTCCAGGTCTCCCCTGTTCACCTCTACACTTCTTCCCTTGCCATTCCTCTGTCTATAAAGGGAGGCAGGAAAGGAGCTACAATTTGAAAACACTTTAAAGGTACTGTTTTCAGTTGTACAAGGTTTGCCTTTATCAGCCCCGGTATCATCTCACGCACATGGACTCCTCACAATTTGAGCTCCAGCCAGGCTTCCCCTTGGTCAGACTTCAGGCAGCTCAGTTGTTCCCAAAGAGATGGTCCTGTGACTAGAATACTTAGGAAACCCAGGAAAAGTTTTGTGACACAAAATTCCTCTATGACCTAGGTTAACTCCTTTAACCCTTACGTAATCTTCATTTGCTCCTTTAAGCCTTCTGCGTACCATATAAAGCAAGGATAAGGACAATTTTTACTGCTGGTTGATGCAGTAAGTCGGAACCATATTGCATTTAGTCTCCTTACAAAAATGAGAGCCAAATAAGCACTGTGAGTTATTACAGAAGCACTGTGATATTTACAGTGAGAGGGCACAAAAGTTGCGCTTTTTAGTGCAAAGACTCTGCTGTCTTTTAAGGTGCATGGAGAAACTGGCCGCATCCAAAACCTGCTCTCTGAGTGTTCCTCAAAAGGGATCTGTGGGCACGTGTCACTAAAACTGCGCTGGATATTGGTTTGTGACGTCTTTCTTCCGTGCGTTAGCTCAAATATAATAGTTAAAAAAATATTCTCCCACTTTCTTTTCCCAAACTGATTTAAGATCTACTGCTGCTAAGTCCGTTATCTTCCCCTTTTCACTATAGACCCTCTCAGCCTGTTTACCAACTGTGCTTGATTATTGTAATACATATTTGAATATGCCGCATAAAGCCAAAGGCAGAAGTTTTTGTTATTAAATGCAGCCTGTCTATTGTAATATACCTAAACTTGACGTGGGGGGAAGGTAGCCAACTTTCCTTTGCTGTCCCTAAAGCAGGCTGTTGCCTGAAGTACACCTGAGAAACACAAAGGTCCAAGGTTTTCTGGGACCAAAAAGACTACCCCACAACAGCTCTGTGTTCGTCATCAGGCCATGTGAAACGTGAGCAGCCTTCAACACGGCAAAACCGGTTTTGTCTGGAAGAAGTGAGCTCTGTATGATATTAAATTTCTCCAAATCATGACTTGACTTAAAAAGGACATGGACTGGAAGTCTTTTTCTTTCCGTGTAATAACGGTGAGATGGACTTCACCGGTGTCACTGTAGCATAAGAAGATACCGAGCTTTACTTGCAGACACCGGCCATGCACAGTTAAGACTACGGAAAGCTTGACTGGCAACAATTATGATACTTGGATGCAAATAGCTACACCTTCTCCATGTGCTTCAGTGTCTGCAAATAACCCGAGAGAGAAAACTTTGGCATAAAGCAACCCCCCACCCCGAAATTACATGCATGAAATAGCTTCATTCACCTTCCTCTCTTTCAATCCCTATTTTCCTAGTGATTGCGTCACCTGGGGTTAAATCAAACGTTTGGAAAAAGAGTCTGACCCTAGCCCCTAGCTAGGCTGAAGTTTTAGCTGCGGTTCCACTTTCGGTTTACCCGTCACCAGCGGCAGGTTTCTGTGACAGAGAGGGGCGGCGACCGCGGCCTCCATCCCCGGTGCGACCCGCAGGCCCAGGGCCGAGGCCCCTGCGGGGCCAGGCAGCAAGCCTCCTACCCTGCCGTCACGCCTGGGGGTTCCGGGGGCTCGGCCGCACGGGGGAG